TGGGACACTAAACAAATTGTGAATAAAAATTGAATGCAATGATGTGGAGATGGCAAATGTCAATATTTTATACGTAATACAACATAGATGACAGATCAAAAGTTTAATCTAAGTAAATGTAACATTTTAAAGAAAAAATATGTTGATTCAAAATTTCACAGTGTCAATAAATCCCAAAAAAGTTGGGACAAGTAGCAATAAGTGGCTGGAAAAAGGAAATTAAGCATATAAGGAACAGCTGGAAGACCAATTAACACTAATTATGTCAATTGACAACATGATTGGGTATAAAAAGAGCTTCTCAAAGTGTCGGTGTCTCTCAGAAGCCAAGATTATAAGAGGATCAGCAATTCCACCATTGTTGCGCAGAAAGATAATGCAGCAATACCAGAATGGTGTTACATCATCAAAAGATTCAGAGAATCTGGAACAATCGCTGTGCGTAAGGGTCAAGGCCGTAAAACTCTACTGGATGCTCGTGATCTCCGGGCCCTTAAACGTCACTGCACCTCAAACAGGAATGCCACTGTCAAGGAAATAACAGAATGGGCTCAGGAATACTTCCAGAAAGCATTGTCAGTGAACACAATCCACCGTGCCATCCGCCGTTGCCAGCTGAAACTCTACAGTGCAAAGAGGAAGCCATTTCTGGTTGTTAGACTGGTTCAAATCGTATCTCTCTGACCGCACTCAATTCATTCAGCTCAAATCCTTTCGTTCCCAGTCTTCTCCCGTCTCCACGGGTGTCCCCCAAGGCTCTGTCCTCGGACCCCTCCTCTTCATCATTTACCTCCTTCCTCTAGGTTACATCTTCCGTAAATTTGGTGTCCATTTTCACTGTTATGCTGATGACACACAGCTCTACCTGTCAACAAAACCAAACTCCACCCACCCACCCTCCATCCTCACCGACTGTCTCAATGAGCTAAATCACTGGTTTTCTAACAACTTCCTACAACTAAACAGTAACAAACCAGAAATCATTCTTGTCGGTACCAAAAACTCTCTTTCAAAATCAGAAAATCTTCTCATCCCCCTTAACAACTCTCTGCTATCCCCCTCACCTCAGGTCAAGAGTCTTGGTGTCATCCTCGACACCACTCTCTCCTTCACTTCACACATCAACAATGTCACTCGGTCTGCCTATTTCCATCTCAGAAATATTAACCGTCTCCGCCCTTCTCTCACACCCCGCTCCACAGCTATCCTTGTGCACAGTCTTGTGACTTCTCGGATTGACTACTGCAACTCCCTTTTTTATGGCCTCCCCAACAAATCTCTCCAGAAGCTGCAATTGGTCCAGAACTCAGCTGCCCGTGTCATCACTCAAACCTCCTCCTATAACCACATCACTCCAGTCCTGCAGCAGCTCCACTGGCTCCCGGTTAAATCACGCATAGTCTTCAAAATTCTTCTTCTCACTTTCAAAGCTATTCACAACCTTGCCCCTCCATACCTATCTGACCTCCTACACATCTCCATCCCCTCTCGCTCTCTCAGATCCTCCTCTTCACTACACCTCCATGTACCCTCTGCCCGCCTCTCCACCATGGGGAGCAGGGCCTTAACCTGCTCTGCACCTCATCTCTGGAACTCTCTACCCCATGACTTAAGAAACACCACCTCTCTTTCTATATTCAAGACTGCTCTGAAAACACATCTCTTTAGACTCGCTTATCCTTAACTTTGCTGTATGTATTTTATTTTCTTTACGCATTTTATATTCTGTATGTATTTTATATTCTTTATTTATTTTATATTCTTTATGTAATTTATTCCTGTTGCTCTTTGTTCTTACTGTAAAGTGTCCTTGGGTGTCATGAAAGGCGCTTTTTAAATAAAATTATTATTATTATTTCTAAGCAAGCTCCACAAGCTCAGGCGTTTGCACTGGGCCAGGGGTCATTTAAAATGGAGTGTGGCAAAATGGAAGACTGTTCTGTGGTCAGATGAGTCATGATTTGAAGTTCTTTATGGAGCACTGGGACGCCATGTCATCCGGATTAGAGAGGACAAGGATAGCCCAAGTTATTATTAACGCTCTGTTCAGAAGCCTGCATCACTGATGGTATGGGGTTGCATGAGCGCTTGTGGCATGGGCAGCTTGCATGTCTGGAAAGGCACCATTAATGCAGAGAACTATGTTCAGGTTCTAGAACAACATATGCTCCCATCTAGACGTCATCTCTTTCAGGGAAGACCCTGCATTTTTCAACACGATAATGCCAGACCACATTCTGCAGCAATCACAACATCATGGCTACGTAGGAGAAGGATCTGGGTACTGAAATGGCCAGCCTGCAGTCCAGATCTTTCACCTATAGAGAACATTTGGTGCATCATAAAGAGGAAAGTGCGACAAAGAAGGCTCAAGACGATTGAACAGTTAGAGGCCTGTATTAGACATGAATGGGAGAGCTTTCCTATTTCTAAACTTGAGAAACTGGTCTCCTCTGTCCCCAGACGTCTGTTGAGTGTTGTAAGAAGAAGGGGGGATGCCACACAGTGGTAAAAATGGACTTGTCCCAACTTTTTTGGGATTTGTTGACGCCATGAAATTTGAAAACAACAGATTTTTTCCTTAAAATGATACATTCTCTCAGTTTAAACTTCTGATCTGTGATTTGTGTTCTATTCTGAATAAAATATTAGATGTTGGCACCTCCACATAATTGCATTGTTTTTATTCACAATTTGTTTAGTGTCCCAACTTTTTTGGAATCCGGTTTGTACTTTTCAGTTGGTCAATATTTCTAAAAATACTTTTTGTAAGTGTCTTAAGTAATATCCTAATTTTCTGAGATACTGAATTTGGGGTTTTCATTAGTTGTCGGTTATAATCATCAACGATAAAAGAAATAAACATTTGAAATATATCAGTATGTGTGTAATGAATGAATATAATATACAAGTTTCACTTTTTGAATGGAATTACTGAAATAAATCAACTTTTTCATGACATTCTAATGGGCAGCACGATGGCGCAACTAGTAGAACTACTGCCTCGCAGCGAGCAGGTCCCTGGTTCAAATCCCAGTAAATGGTAAATGGACTGTACTTATATAGCACCTTTCTATCTTATTTCAAGATACTCAAAGTGCTTTGCACTACAATCTGTGTCCTCATTTACCCATTCATACAACACTCTACTAGATCTCTACAAAGCTAATTGAACAAATCATTCTAATGAGACTAATCAGTGCTTTAGATCACATTCATACTAGAGGATGACATTTTTTCAGGAGTACCGCCGGTCACGTGATTCCGGCCGGATTCCGGCGAGACCGGAGTCAACCTCATTATAACTCACGTGACCGGGACATGACCGGACTGAAAGCTAACGGGAGCAGACAGGAGTGGGAACCGACCAATAACCAAAAATGAAAATGAAACAAACAAACAAACAAAACAAAAATAACGGGCGCAGCTATTTTGTAGTTTTCTTTTAGTAAGCCTTCACTTTAACACAAAGACCCTTGTCACACACTTCAAAAAAGAGCAGGTAAGATACATAAAATCTTGTAATCTCTGCCTGGTGAGGCTGATTAAATATTATCATATTATAAAATATGATAAGTGAAATAAATAAAGAAAAATTGAGCTTCTGTAATTTATATTTGCAAATGTCACATTTTCTTGACTTACTTTCAATTGTAAATCTCTTGTTTTTGATAAAAAAAAATTCCAAAAGAAAGGCCAACAAATTGTAATTTGTAGTCATGGTAACCCTATTTTGACTCGTGCACGTCTTCTTTCACTTTTAGGTTCCACAAGGCTCTGGACTGGTCCAGCTGTGGAGAGATGAGGTGGAACACCAGACCTGCGATGGTCCAGTCTGTAAATGAAGCTCTGAA